CAGGGAGCAGGCCGAGAGGTGGGAGGCAGACAGACCAGTTGGCAAGCCCCTGCCAAGACCCAGGGACAGGGGTGTCGGGGGGACCTGGGATGAGAACAGTCAGTTAAGATGGGCGGGCAGATCCAGACCCATTCCCAGGTTCAGGGGCGCTATCACCTGTGGGAAGTGGAGAGAGTAGGGGTCCAGCCTGCACCACAGGCTTTTGGCCTCTGTGATTGACAGCTGGTGTCCTTGGGTAAGTAGGGAGCCCAGAGGAGCCAGGGAGAGTGGAGGAAGCCTGCAGCCCGGGCAGAAGGTCTAAGGCAGCCGACCTCAGGCCTGGAGCTCAGCAGTGGTCAGTGCTGGGGGAGCGGGTGGGTCAGCCCTGCAGAGGGGATCTGGAGGGAGCTGCCTCCACGGTGGAACCCGGGAGTGAGCACACAGGAGCGTTCAGTGAGTGGTTGTGGAAGGAATGAGTGAGTGACAGAGCGACTGGCAAGTGTGAGCCCTGAAGAGCTGTCCCAGACGGGAGAGAATCAGGGGACAGAGGCTGAGAGCTCTGAGGGGTGACTGGCCAGTGTCAGACCCTGCAAAAGCCAAAGGCGCAGGGGAGGCGACCTGCAGGTGCCACTGCTCAGTTTGGCTCCAGGCATCGGGGAGGGCAGCTGGCTGAGTGGGCAGCTCCCATCGCTGCAGGACCTCGGGAAAGAATGGGAAGGAGGCGAGAGGAGGCACCTTACAGGAGAGGTTTGGTGAGGAAGGAAGGGGACACGCAGGCGGCAGCTGGACAGAACACCATTAGATCAGGGGAGGGGATGGCTACATGCCTCCCTCCCTCCCTCCTCCTTCTGACACTTCCTGGTTGAGTGGCCTTGGAAAAATCCAATAGATCACTTTAAGCTGAGCTCCTGTGGTGATACAAATCCCATATCAAAATGGGATTCAACTAATAGTGTAAAATAAACACTTGCATGATAAACAGGAAACCTCGCTTTCCCATGCTCTGACCTTGTGGCAAAGGGAGCTGGTGGATTCCAGGGGCTGGGGAGACTGGGGGGCTGAGCAGGGAGCCCAGAGACCCTACACCCCAAAACGCTGCCAGTGACGAAGTGGTGAGAAAAACTAGAACTCAATTCTACAACATCTCATTTTATTACAAACCCGTCCTTGTATTCCAGAATCAATGGCTATTTAATATACAACCCAAAGCACTTAGACAATTGACCATGTTAACATTTCTCAGTACTTTAGCTCTAATGGAGAAAAGCTTTATAAAACCCCAATCACCAGGTTTAGTACATCCCACGATGAGCACCTTTAGTGTCAGGAATCTGGCCAAACACACAGCAGCAGGTGAGACTCCCGACGCAAACAACTGACTCCATATGGAACATAAACATGGAGTGTCCCCGAAGAATGGTACACAGGTCGGACTCGCGTTAAACATGAATGACTCCGTATGGAACATAAACATGGAGTGTCCCCCAAGAATGGTACACAGGTCGGACTCCCGATAAACATGAATGACTCCGTATGGAACATAAACATGGAGTGTCCCCCAAGAATGGTACACAGGTCGGACTCCCGGTAAACATGAATGACTC